TGGGTCGTTAAAATTTCGTCGGAACGAAGTTACGGAAAAATCAATTAACAAACGGAGACGTAACAATATCAAAATGGATTTTTTCCAATTTTCATGAATTTATCATCTGTAAGTTTCAGGAATTTAGGTTAATTTTAACAAAAAAATCTGACAAACAAAGAAAGGACGTCACAGTAAACTCGCATACAGAATCAAACTAGGAAAGTAACATAAAGTTATGTTTAAATCAAGCATCTTATATCAGGATTATTATTATCCGCAATACACGATTTAGCATTCTAGTTTACTGGAAGATATAATAATTGAGTAATTATATAATAGCAGAATGTTACATTCTTTAAACTTGTTATTTAAAGCTGGGGAGAGGTTTACATTGACTGATAATTTATTAGAATCCGTTCCCCTCAAGCATGCACATTTGCAGAACACTTAACTTAAATCAAGTAATATCATCATGGTTATTCTGCAAGCCTAAGACTATGTGTAAGAATGAAAACCTCTTCTGCTTTTGAAAAAGACATGATAGTGGAAGCTTGTTTAGCAGGGCTTTATTATCAAATAACATTTTCTTGAGTTAATAAAAAATATATGCTAGCACAGTCAACATTGCCAATTAAAACGGATTGTGATTGTATTAGTCATCAACTACGATTAACTGACTGAGGGGAAAGACGACTGAACAGATTAATAAGGTGTTATGGAAATTACACTTGCTTCATTTGACAATTTTTTTGAAAACTGACCAAGTTTCGACTTATCTCTATACATACCACAGAGGTTGGAGAATACAGAGTCTGTCATATGACAGCAACAACTAATCTAATTTCTTTTTAATCTCAGACGCATACAAGAAAACCTGGTTGTTAGAATGGAATCTGTGGATAATGAAATGGATGTGTTTTAAAGAGTTTGTTTTACTTTTTTTTTTTACTGATGATAAATTAAAACTACAGAAAAATTATTAGGTACCTAACCTTGTTTGTGATGTGTGTAATGGTGTGAAAGGCGTTTTCATGGCAGGGACTGCGTCCTTAGGGTTTATTTTTAGAAAGTGGAATACTTTCTAGAGTATACCTGAATAATATATTTTATCAAGTCTTCTCCACTCTAAAGTATGTCCACCCTTATGAACAAGGGCTTTTAATGGATAAAAATGCAATAATTCACATCACACATATTGCCTGAACCTTACGTAGATGATGAATTTCGCGCAAAGCTACACGAGGGTTATCTGCGCTAGCAATCTCTAATTTAGTAGTGTAAGACTAGATGGAAGGCAGCTAGTTATCACCACCCACCGCCAACTCTTCGGCTACTCTTTTACCAACCGTCACATAATAACGCCCCATGGCTGAAAGGGCGAGCATGTTTGGTGGGACGGAGATTCAAACCTACGACCCTCAGATTGCGAGTCGAGCGCCCTAACCACCTGGCCATGCCGGGCCACACATAGATGAATTTCATAATCTTATTTAGCCAGCACATTTACTGTACCCTAACCTACTTGGGATGAATTTCAAAACATTGGATGAACTTCAAAATCCTATTTTGATGTGGTCTTTAGGTACACTAATTTCAGAAAGTTATAAGTATTCACGATATAGCAAATTCCAGAAACAGCCATGCAGAGAATAAAATTAACTCAACTAGCAAAAGAAAAACAAGGAAATGAAAGTGAAGAAATAAACAAAAGCTTTATTCACATTCAGTTTGAGTCAGCTTCTAGGTTCTGCTGCACGACCTGTTACTGCTGGGACAAAGGAGCGAGACAAATAAAGGGCCCAGATTCTTACTAGTATTGCATTATTAGGTCAGATCAAAGTCTACCATGGGGTCTCACAATCACTAGACTAAAGTGCACATGTCAACATTCATTCTCATTATACTTATTCGAGGGAGATAAACCTCCAACTCATTCTAACTTGTATAAGACTCCGTACCACCCCTTGAAGTGTGTACGATCGCACTCCAGGAGGGCATGACACAGGAACAGGACGAAGCAAATTTAATCTTTAGAGAACAACTGTTGTAGTATTTAATGTTTGTTGAAGGTGAAGGTTTACAACCTTCCCATATGCACTGGGTGAGAAGGTCATTAACTACATGCATAACACCAGTACAAACATTTAGAAGATATTTCCTGAATATGCCTGAATAAATGAATATTCTTTACTAGTTATGGAACAGTAAAAAACAGGAGTTTTCATACCGTTACACCCATATCTGTGAACCAGCTACAGATCGTATTTGTGGTTAAATGATCTGCAATCCAAAAAGAACTTCGGCATCTTGTAGAGTATATACAATAATACATCGAGACTATTATTGAGACAAAAATAATAAAAACTTAATAATAATTGCTATTTCTAACAAAGCAGCCATCCTTTTACTTTTGACAAAGATGGAGCAAGGAACATTCACAAGATTCTTGGGGAAAAATACACGATTTCTTTCATCGTATTATTCACTTATTCAAAGTTTAAATGCCAAACGATGAAGATTAGTGTACATTCGACTATGAAGTAATAATGGCTGGAGACGGCTTGAATGGGTAATGAAGAAAAACTTTAATATAAGCTTAACATAACAGCAAATGTACAACGTTTCGACAAGGTTTTGTCGATGATGACAAAACTTTGTCGAAACGTTGTACATTTGCTGTTATGTTAAG